GCTTGAGCCCAGGAGTGTGAGGTTGCTGTGAGCTAGGCTGACGCCATGGCACTTACTCTAGCCAGGGCAACAGAGTGAGACTGTGTCTCAAAAAAAAAAAAAGAGAGAATAGCCAATTTTTTAAAACTTTTTAATTTTAAATTCTGTTGTTGGAGGCAGGGTCTCACTCTGTCACCCAGGCTGCAGTGCGGTGGCACAATCATAGCTCACTGCAGCCTCGAACTCCTGGGCTCAAGTGAAACTCTTGCCTCAGTCTCCTGAGTAGCTGGAACTACAGGCACATACCACCACGCCTGGCTAATTTTTCTATTTTTAGTAGAGACAGGGTCTTGCTCTTTGTCAGGCTGGTCTTGAACTCCTGATGTCAAGCGATCCTCCCACCTGGGCCTCCCAGACTGCCGGGATTATAGGCATGAGCCACCACACCTGGCTTACAGAATAGCCAATTTTAATTAGCACTTTACTAAGCCAGGCATTTTTCAAAGCACTTCATACGTATTTAACTCATTTTGTCCTCGCAGCAACCCCACGAGGGGTAGTATCTAGTTATCTGCAATCTGCTCGGAGGGGCACTGTGGCTCAGAGAGGCTGAGTCACTTGCCCAAGGTCACACAGATGATAACTTGCCCAGCCAGGGTTCATACCCAAGCGGGCTGGCTCCAGAGCCTTCACTCTTAGCCAACACTCTCTTCTGGTTTCTAGTTTCTCTTGGAAATTTGGTAGATCTGGTCCCGGTGGGCCCATATGCTTGTGTGGCAGCAGTCAGCTGACTCTGACGCAAGTGCTGTCCTTTTTGCCCCCACCTGGTTACCTGCTTCTGTCACTTCCTGACCCCCAGAGGCATTTGCCCCTGCGACTTCTGCTTTAAAGGGCTGCTTCTACACAGCCCCTCACTCAGACCCCTACCCACAGGTGGCGTGGTGACTGCAGGCCTGGCCATCTACGACACGATGCAGTACATCCTGAACCCCATCTGCACGTGGTGCGTGGGCCAGGCCGCCAGCATGGGCTCCCTGCTGCTGGCTGCGGGCAGCCCGGGCATGCGCCACTCACTGCCCAACTCCCGCATCATGATCCACCAGCCGTCCGGGGGCGCCCGGGTGAGTGCCAGGCTGTGAGCTGCCATCAGGATGCAGGACAGGGTCTGGGCACAAGGACTGGCTGGGCGGAAGCCAAGTGTGGGTGTCAGTGTTATTCACTCAGGTATGGTGAGGCCAACAGATCGGGGGCCAACTGGCAGTGAAAAGACAGTTTGTTACTCACATCCCAAGAGGAGGGGGTGCGCCAAGCCATGGCACGCCACACAGGGTCACATGGAGAAGCACTGGGGTCGGTCGGGGACAGAGGGAGTGGGGGAAAACATGGGCAGAAGCCTTTACTGCAGCCTCTACGGGAAGGAACAGGCAAGGCAGGGTGAGTAGACTTAGGATTGGCTGGTTTGAATCACTCTGGGGTATAGAGACGGCCCCTAGTTCTCTGGTACCCAGCCCTGGGGTGATTGGGGCAGGGGGAGGACAGTGGCCCAGCGTGTTAGAGCCCAATCAGGGAGGTGGTGGGGGCTGTGGGCTCTGGATTGGCTGGTCAGCATTTGAAAGGTACAAAAGTGAGTTGTTTCCTGTGTCCAAGAATTAGCTAGCCTTGGAAGGGGCTGTTCCTCCCCAGTCTGCAAGGCCCAGAGCAGAAAATAAGAAAATATATAGTAGAGTCAGAAAGGCTTCCTGGTGGCAGCAAGGATGACGCAAGATGTGGTGGGACTCGAAGATCCCTGTCCCACCTGCTTGAAAACCGGAAGCCGGAAGCCCAGGGAGGGCTCCCGGGTCCTCATCTCGAGCCTCCTCATGAGGGGCCGACACTGATTCTGGCCTTTGTCCCCTCACTGCACTTGGGACGTCCCTCAGGGGCAAGCCACAGACATCGCCATCCAGGCGGAGGAGATCATGAAGCTCAAGAAACAGCTGTACAACATCTATGCCAAACACACCAAACAGAGCCTGCAGGTGATCGGTGAGTGCCCCCGCCCCGGCCAGACCCCGGCTGCCCTCCTTTATTTTATTCAATGTGGACGGACTTGCCAGGCGTTCTCAGCCGGGGCTTCCCAACCTCGGCCTGTGGACATTCAGGGCCGGATCAGATCATTCTCTGTGGTAGGGACTGTCCCGGGCACTGTAGGGTGTGTAGCATCATCCCTGGCCTCCACCCACTAGATGCCAGTAGCCTCCCCCAATCGTGACAACCCAAAATGTCTCCAGACATCACCAGGTACCCACAGAATCGCATGCAGTTAAGAACCACTGTTCTAAGCCCTTTCAGAGTATAGTATTTATAGAGTATAACACCGCGCCCGGCAGATGTTCATCATCTTTAGTGATGATATTTAATAAAAACATCAACAGTTATTAGGGAGGCCGGGCGCGTGACTCACATCTGTAATCCCAGCACTCTGGGAGGCTGAGGAGGGAGGATTGCTTGAGCTCAGGAGTTCAAGACCAGCCTGAGCAAGAGCAAGACCCATCTCTACTAAAAATAGAAAAATTAGCCAGGCCTGGTGGTGCGCACCTATAGACCCAGCTACTAAGGAGGCTGAGGCAGGAGGATCACTTGAGCCCCGGAGTTTGAGGTTGTAGTGAGCTATGATGATGCCACTGCACTCCACCCAGGGTAACAGAGTGACATCCTTTCTCAAAAAAAAAAAAAAAAAAAAAAAGATAGTTATTAGGGAAAGGCAAATTAAAACCACAGAGAGATACCATTTCCGTCCTCTACAATGCCTAAGATACAAAAAAACTGACAACACGAAACGCCGATGAGGGTGCGGAGCAACTGGAACACTTGGCTGCTACAGGTGGGCGTGAAAATGGGACGCCCACTTTGGAAAGCTGTTTGGTGTTACCGGCTAAGGCTAAACATGCACAAAGGTCCCCCTTGGTTCCCCTGCTCAGTGTGTGACCACGGGCACTTGTGTCCGTGAAAGATGTGTACAGGGACTCGATGGCAATCCAGTTCATAGGAGCCCCAAACTGGCCCGGTGCCAGTGGCCTGGGTGTGCCAACAGTGGTTTAAATGACAAAAATAGGCAGAGCTAATCTGTGCTGCTAGGGTGGGGGTTACTTTGGGGTATGGGGAGGAGGTGGTGCGGATTAGTGACTGATGGCCCAAGCAGGGTTTTCGGGGCACTGGCGAGGTTCCATTTCTTGGTCTGGGTGCTGGTCCTATGGGTACGTTCAGTCTGAAAATCCATCTGACTGTACATTTATGAATCATGCCCTTTCCTGGATGTATATTATAAATCAATAAAAAGTTTAAAAAAAATTGAAATAGATACTTTTCTTTTTTTTTTTTTTTGAGACAGAGTCTTACTCTGTTGCCCGGGCTAGAGTGCCGTGGCGTTAGCCTAGCTCATAGCAACCTCAAACTCCTGGGCTCAAGCGATCCTCCTGCCTCAGCCTCCCGAGTAGCTGGGACTACAGGCATGTGCCACCGTGCCTGGCTAATTTTTTCTATATATATATATTTTAGTTGTCCAGATAATTTCTTTCTATTTTTAGTAGAGACGGGGTCTTGCTCTTGCTCAGGCTGGTATCGAACTCCTGACCTTGAGCGATCCTCCCACCTCAGCCTCCCAGAGTGCTAGGATTACAGGCGTGAGCCATCATGCCTGGCATGAAATGGATATTTTTCTGATGGGGAAAGCAAGGCTCAGAGTGAGGAAGACCAAGGTCACACAGGGCAGAATTGGTAGACTCAGGATGTCTTACTCAGTTTGGGCTGCCTAACAAAATACCACAGACTGGGTGGCTTGAACAACAGAGATTTGTTTTTCACAGTCCTAGAGGCTGGAAGGCCAAGATCAAGGTGCTGGCCTGTTCAGTTGCTGGTGAGGGCTCTCTTCCTGGCTTGCAGGCAGCTGCCTTCTCACTGTGTCCTTACATGGTGGGGAGAGAGCAAACTCTGGAATCTCTTCTTAGAAGGGCACTAATCCTATATGGGGGGCCCACCCTTATGACCTCATCTAACCCTAATTACCTTCCAAAGACCTTATCTCTAAATACCTTCCCACTGGGGGTTGGGGCTTCAACATAGGAATTTGGGGGATGGGAGGAACAAACATTCAGGCCAGACCTGGCCCCAGGCCTTTGCTCTTACCCTCATGTGTACCATGTCCCGCTTCCCCCACCAGAGTCGGCCATGGAGAGGGACCGCTACATGAGCCCCATGGAGGCCCAGGAGTTTGGCATTTTGGACAAGGTCCTGGTCCACCCTCCCCAGGACGGTGAGGATGAGCCCGAGCTGGTGCAGAAGGAGCCCGTGGTGGCAGCGACGGTGGCAGAGCCTGTTCCAGCAAGCTCCTGAGAGCTGAGCCTCATCTCCAGGGTCACAGCAAGGGGCCGGGTGCAGCCAGACCCCTCCGTGAGCCCTGCTGACCCCTCGCTGCTGAGCCTGGAGAGGCCCCTTGAGGAACTTTGGATCCGAGGGATCCCCAGTGGACGGGGCAGCCTGGCTGAAACACTGATTTTAAATTAAACCTTTGTGTTCTTTGCTCCGCGTCTGAGGCACCTTCCGTCTCGCTCCTCGAAGGTGTGCACACGTGTGTACTTCACCCTCCTGCGTCTGCTCTGAGCTGAGACCTGGACCTTCCCTTCCTTCAGCAAACTCTCCTGGACATACACTACAGTCAAGGCGCAGTTCTCGAGGCCACAATACCGTGAAGAAAACACAAAAAACTGTTCCCAGAGAGCCTCCATGCTGTGGGAGTAGACACTTAAAAAAAAAAATCAGGCCGGCGCAGTGGTTCACGCCTGTGATCCCAGCACTGTGGGAGGCCGAGGCAGCCTTCCTGTGGTTCCTCCCGCATGCTAGGCACAGACCTGCCACCGGGCTTTTGCACTGGCTATGCCCTCTGCCCAGACTGCTCTTTGCCCAGATACTAACAAGGGTCCGTCTCTCACCTCCTACAGGTCTTTGGGCAAATGTCACCGCCTCAGTGATGCTTTCCCTGACCACACTATGTAAAACTGTAACTGTCTCTCACACACACACCTGCATACCGCCGCTTTTTTTTTTTTTTTTTTAAAAGAAGAGCCTCACTCTGTTGCCCAGGCTGGAATGCAGTGGCACCATCATAGCTCACTGCAGCCTCAAACTCCTGACCTCAAGCAATCTTCCCACCTCAGCCTCCCAAGTAGCTGGGACCACAAGCATGTGTCGCCCTATCTGGCTAATTTTAAAATTTTTTGTAGAAATGGGGTCTTGCTATGTTGCCCAGGCTGGTCTCTTACTGGCCTCAAGTGATCCTCCCACCTCAGCCTCCCAAAGTGCTAGGAAGATTCTAGCTAGCTTTTAAAGGCAGGGCTGGGATGTGAGATGCATGTGACACAGAGAGCAGTCTCCAAAACCTCCAAGCTCTTGGCCCAAAGCAGCTAGAAAGATAGACAGCCTTCACCAGAGATGTGGCTGGAGGGAGAATTACGGTCAATTTTTTGTTTTTTAAAATTCAGAGCATTGGAGAGGGGCTACATTCATCAGTTACAGTTGTTTGAACTTTTCATTATGGACCATTTAAAATATATGCATTATTTAGGCCAGGCACAGTGGCTCATGCCTGTAATCCCAGCATTCTGGGAGGCTGAGGTGGGAGAATGGCTTGAGGCCAGGAGTTTGAGACTAGCCTGGGCAACATAGCAAGACCCCATCTCTACAAAAAAATAAAAATTAGCAGAGCGTGGTGGGGTTTGCCTGTAGTCTCAACTACTGTGGAGGGTGAGGCAGGATCGCTTGAGCCCAGGAGTTGGAGGCTGCAGTGACCTATGATTATGCCACTGCACTCCAGCCTGGGCAAGAGAGTGAGATCCTGCCTCTTAAAAAAAAAAGGTGTGTGTGTGTGTGTGTATATATACACACGCACACATTATTTGAAAGCAAATCTCAGACATCGTTTCATCTGTATTTCAGCATGCATAGAGATAAGAAATCTTTAAAGAGAACCATAATGCCATTTTCAAACCTAAAAACAATAATACTTACTGAAAGGGGGAAATGAATGATGCCGATGCCTCGCTTTGACCTTTGACCACAATCCCTAACTGTACACATGTGGCCCCACCCCATAATCGTGCCCTTGACGTCAGTCCCCTGACCCCTGTAACCTTGACCCCTTCATCTCAGCCTGACTACTCTGCCCTTAACCTCTAGTCCTAGCCGACTGCATGACCTTAGCCTTGGCCCAGATCCTTCTCTGACCCCTGACCTCGGGCCCCCGGCCAGATCCTGCCCTGGCCGCTGTGCGAAGTCTCGGCCAAGCACCGGCTAGGTTGGACCTTTATGGCTCTCGGATAATAAAAGAGGCGCGGCTAGGGTCGGGCAACAGACGGACTTGTGGCACAGCCAATGGTCTAAGCCACTGCATTGATGATGCCCAATAGCGCGGGAGAGAAGGCGGGTTCTGGGAGAGCCAATAGCTTAAGAGGGTGATCAGAACAGCAACCAGTAGCCTCGAGCGAGAGGCGGGACTCTGAGGAAAGCCAATCGCTGGAGGAGACTGGTGCAGTCACAGCCAATGGCTCTGGGGCGGGGGCGTTGCCCTTACCCCGACAGCTTCCACGACCCGGCTCCAGGGCTATGGCCGGGAGTGGGCGGCTGGCGCTGAGGACGCTGCCTGGGCTGGGGTGGGTGCGGGGCTCGGGCCCGGCCGTGCTGAGCCGCCTGCGAGACGCGGCCGTGGTGCGGCCTGGCTTTCTGAGTGCGGCCGAGGAGGAGACGCTGAGACGGGAGCTGGAGCCTGAGCTGCGCCGCCGCCGCTACGAATACGACCACTGGGACGCGGTGAGACGGCAGCGGCGTCGGAGGCGGGACCCGGGCGTCAGGGGCGGGGCCCGGATTTTCCAAGCCTGGTGGGCGGGGCCTGGGTGCCGGGGGCGGGGCCGCACTGGGAGCTGTACCTAGAGAGGGCCGCGGGGCTGGAACCCGGGCTTTGGGAGGAGCGGGACCTGGGGGAAGGGGACTTTGAGGGCAGGGCCGAAACTGGAGACAGGATCTGGAACCAAGAGGTGGAAACGGGTTGGAGCGAGATGAGGGAGGGCAGCTGTTGGGGACAGAGACTGGAGACTTGGTGGGTTGCCTCTGTGGTTGTGCGCAGAGGCTGAGAATTGAATCTGGGGGCAGGCCCAGCATTGGGGACAAGGAATTCGAGCCCGAGGGTGGGTGCAAGGGACTGAGGTCAGACCTAGATGGGCCCTGGGGCAGGGGTCCCTATATGGATTCAAGACCTAGATAGGGTAGTGGTTGCGAGTTGAGGGCGGGGTCGAGTGCGGCTGGGAGAACCAGCCCCTTGCCCTGTGCTCTGCCCCTCCGTGCCTCAGTTTCTCTGTCCCCCCCTGTGAGCTCCCAGGCTTGACCCGAGCCCTCTGTGCAGGCCATCCACGGCTTCCGGGAGACGGAGAAGTCGCGCTGGTCAGAGGCCAGCCGGGCTATCCTGCAGCGTGTGCAGGCAGCCGCCTTTGGCCCTGGCCAGACGCTGCTCTCCCCAGTGCACGTGCTGGACCTGGAGCCGCAGGGCTACATCAAGCCCCACGTGGACAGCATCAAGGTGGGCAGAAGCCAGCGCTTTGGAGTGCCCAGCTGGGGGGTGGGCAGGCCAGGCCAGAGCCTGACCCACCACCATGCCCCTTCTTCCAGTTCTGCGGGGCCACCATTGCCGGCCTGTCCCTCCTGTCTTCCAGCGTCATGCGGCTAGTGCACACCCAGGAGCCGGGGGAGTGGCTGGAACTCCTGCTGGAGCCAGGCTCCCTCTACATCCTTAGGTACCGACAGCGGGGGAGCCCCCACCCCTCCAGGAATGTGCCAGATGCCCACCGGCTGCCTTGAGCACCTCCCTCAATCCAGCGCCCCCAGCAGATGCTCCAAGGTGTTGCAGGAGGCAGCAGACGGGCTGGAACCTGCGTCTGCCTGGAGCAGGGGTTGCCTCCTCCCGCCCAGTCACGCAGCCTGCGTTTTCTCTCACAGGGGCTCAGCCCGTTACGACTTCTCCCATGAGATCCTTCGGGACGAAGAGTCCTTTTTTGGGGAGCGTCGGATTCCCCGGGGCCGACGCATCTCCGTGATCTGCCGCTCCCTCCCAGAGGGGATGGGGCCCGGGGAGCCTGGACAACCGCCCGCCGCCTGCTGACCCCAGGCCGTCCCCCAGCTTCCCACAGAGACTGGATTTGTGAATAAAGGTGGAGAATGGACAACCCAGCCACCCTTGTGCTGGCTGTTTGCTGGGGCTGGGATGTGTAGGGGAAGCCCAGGGTGGCACCTGCCTTCGGAGACCCCAGGGGCAGTGGAGGCTGAACACACAGTCGCAAGGCCAGGAGGTGGTGTCTTTTATTGTGCTCATTGCTGGCGGCCCTGGTGCACCTCCCCTCCTGGTCTTCTCTGCACCTGGGCCTCCAATAAATAAGGCAGCTGAGCTCCTCCGGGCTTCAGGGCACCAGGCTGGCGCCTTCACCCGCCACAGCCACAGGCAGCTGCGGAGAGCTGGGGAAGCCGCTGCCAGTGGTGGCGGTCATCAAGGAAGGCCACGTCAGCGTAGCGGGTAGGCCGGCAGCAGGGCCCGCCGTGGGCTCGGCCCTGGCCCCGCAGCCGGGCCAGCACCAGGCCATGCTGGGTGCGGGCGCCACGGGGGCAGCTGCCGGCGCAGTAGCGGAAGATGACCTTCTCCTCCGAAATGTAGCCCAGGCCCAGCTCCGCCACCGGCAGGGTCAGGCTCCACAGCTGGCACGGGCTGGCTGGCGCTCGGCGCAGGCGGGCAGGGGAGCAGTGGGCGCCTGCGGGAGAGAAAGGCGCTGACACCAGGCGGGGTCTGGGCAGGAGGGAGATGGGAAGTCACAGGGGCCCCGGGGGGTCCTTACCCTGCTGGGTCCCTCCAGCGTCCGCCGCCTGCTCAGACTCTCCCTTGACCATCGGCGTCCCCCAGGCACTGGAGCCCCAGCCCAGGCCCAGCTGCAGTGACAGCAGCAGTAGAGCGCAGAGCGGGGCCATCCCTGAGGCCATTGTGACGGCAGGTCCGGAGGGGGCCTGTGCCCTGAATTTATACCCCCTCCCGGACCGGGGAGCTAACCTCTTCCCTGCCGGCCGCGGCGCCAGAAGGCCCCATGTCCCACACCAGTTCTGCTACCGCGTCCTCTGGTCCAGGCATCGGTTCCTCCTGCCCTGCTTCCCGCCCTCCTAAGAGTTAAGGGCCCACACCCCCCAGCCCACCCCACCCCGACATTCCACAGACCCATTTCCGACGCCCCTGATACCCCCTGATTTACGAGTCTTGTGCCTGCAGCGGGGGCTGAGCCCAGGGCAGGCAACCACTGTCCCCACCCCACCTGCTGCCTGGAGGGGGAGGCAGGGGGCTTCATGGGTCCCCCTGTGGGGTCCCTCCCCCCGCTAAGGCAGGGTGCTGGGGGTCAGGAGCCCCCATGTCACATGTCGTGTGCCAGGTGCAGCAGACGTGTGTGCTGGGCAGGGCGGCTTCGCAGGTGGCCGAGCCCATCATGGCTCCCGCCTGGAGGATTAAGGCATCATGCCCCTGTCTCCGGGCCTGGCGGAGCCAGCATCAAAACAGGAAAAGGGAGAGGCCGGGGGACAGCCAAGGGCTGGGACAAGGGAGCAGGGACTCCTCTCTCCGGAAGGCCAAGCTGGGAACCCCAAGACTAGCCCCACCCTGGGATCCAAGAGCGTCGAGCCCGAGGGGAGGTCGAGGCCCTCCGGGTCATGGTCGCGTCTAGCACGTTGACAGAAGCAGCAGCACGTCACGGGGAGGTGCGTACTCTGGTAGCTTCCACGCCCAGCCCCGTGTGACCCTGGGGAGGTGATCCTCTGTCCCCTCACCAGACAAGGGGGCAATTCCGAAGTCCTCTCACACGGCGCTCTGAGGTCAGACGGACGGGCACTTGGTGTGTAGCAGTGCTGGGAGTTTCTATGCCAAGGGGATACACATACAAATAGCGTGCGTGTGTCTGAAGAGGGGCTCGACCCCATGCGCAAGAGAGTGGGGTGGAACTCGGAGACTGCACCCCCTCAGACTGGCAAAAACCAGAGAACCTGCTTGCACACAGCTGTGGGTGACCCAGGCACTCTCTGACACGTGGTGTAAATTCGTAGCAGCTCTTTGAACGAACAGCTGCTCCCGGGATTGTAAATCACACCTTATGCCCCAGGAAACCTGCTTCCGGGTTCATCCCACTCAGGTGGGCGAAGCAGCCGGCGCAGGGACAGTCGCTGCCTTGTGTCTAGATAAGGCAGGACTGGAGGTGCCCTGAACTCCAGCCATGGGCATTGCTGCAGTGATGACACTGTGGCTGAAGTCTCTTGTCTGAAGTCACCCAGGGGATTTGAACCCAGGTCCCTCCCTAAATGCAAGGCCCCTGCCCCTAGCCACTGCCTGGCCTCCCAATGGGGAGGCCTTAGACCGAGGTCCACATGACAGGGGCAGCAGGGGAGAAACCACCAGGGCAAGGGGCCAGAGCTGCTTTCCTGCCTGGCAGGAGGATGGGGAGGGAGGTTGGACCAGTGGAGACATTCCTAGGAATTAGCCGGGTATCTCAGGCATCCCCACTTGGCAGCCAAGGGCCCGCAGAACTGGGTGGGGAAGTTTTCCACCTGCAGTTTCCAACCGTGGGCAAGACAGAAGCCCGACATCCTGCCCCCAGCCGGGTCACTCAGAACAGGGGTTCCGAAGTGGCGGCTGCAGCCAAATTCCATTTCCAGCCACAGGAACTGGAATAAGCCCTCCCTGTACAGAGCACCTGGCAATGCATACCCAAACTCGGACCGAGAAACATTGCTGGGGAGCTGAGACAAGGCCCAGAAACCAGGAGGATTAGGCTTCGGTGGCCACTTAGGGACAGAGTCCCCGAGCTGAGAACCACACATAGAATGGGCGTTGGATGGCACCCCCAGGTGGCTGGCAGAAGCGAAGGCAGAACCATCTGGAAGGACCTGCCTGCAAAGTAGGCCACGCAGGATGCTTACAAAGAGCCCCCAGCTGGTCGTGAGCACCTGTCCTGAATTACAAAGCACAAGAAAATAACAGGAGGCCCATGAACTTCAGATTCTAAATGTGTCTGACAGACTGTAAGGATGCTTAAAATCAAAACATGAGCCGGGCGCAGTGGCACGCACCTGTGGTCCCAGCTACTGGGGAGGCTGAGGCGGGAGGATCGCTTGAGCCCAGGAGTTGGAGGCTGCAGTGAGCTATGATGACGCCACTGCACTCTAGCCTGGGTGACAGAGCCAGACCCTGTCTCTAAAATAATAATAATAATTGAAAAAATAAACTATCCAAACAGAGCAGTGACCTGCAAAGGAAGCAAAGACCACTTTGAGCAATCGAAAATGGAGTCACTGACAAACTAAATTCCTAATGGGCTGCGCGGGAGACAAATGAGGCTGAAGAGGGTCCCTGTAAAGGGGAAGGCAGAGCTGCAGAAGTGACCCAGCGGGGAGCACACGGGCTCGGTCAGCGCGACAGAGGTCAAGGGAGGAGGAGGAGGAGGAGGGGAATGACAGGGTCTAAACGGCATCTGAAGGTTCCAGAAGGGGCTGGAGGAGGACACTGCCTAGGCGTTTCAGAATTGGTGACACCGGGGCACCGGGCCTGAGGGAGGGATGCAACAGGGCGGGGAACACGCGACAGTGAGCACGCAGAGCCGAGAGGCCGCGGAGGACGAGCCTGTTTATTGGGCGCCTCACTCCTTGAGCGAGAAGTGCATCTTGTCGTTGATCATCTTGCGCTCGGGGTTGAGGCGCTTGAGGATCTGGGCCAGCACGTTCACCGTCTGCTCGCTGCTCAGCCCCGTCTTCTTGGTCTGGAACTTCTTCAGCAGGTCCTTGGTGGTCATGGGCTTCCGCGTCAGGTAGCGGCGCACGGCGTCCTCGGTCACCTGCACGTCGCTGCTGAGCAGACGGCAGGGCGGTGGCGTCAGCAAGGTTCTCCCCGGCTGCCCCCGCCCGCCCCACCGTCCCAGCCAACTCACCCGCCGCTGGGCGTCGACTTGCCCGAGGGGGGCTGAGGGGTCGACTTCCCAGACAGGCTCTGGGGCCCGGCGTCCAGCCGCAAGCGCTTGGGTGCCGGTGTCTCGCCTGCACGCTTCCCTGTCGGAGCAGGGTCGCGCTGAGTCTTGGGAATGGGGAGGCTGGACCCTTGGGCAGGACCCCAGGCTGGGCAGTGCCAGGATCGGGGCACAAGCAGCTCAAGGAGGGACAGGCCTCCGTGCCCACCTCTCTGTCCCCTCCCTGGCCGGGGCTCCCGGGGCAGCGGGGGACGCCGGGCACTCACCTTGCTCTAGTTTGCTGGCGGCGGCCCGCAGGGTGGAGGAGGTGCTGCCGCCCTCTGCGCTGGGCGTGCCTGGGCGGCTATTGCCCCTCGAGCTGCCTCCCGAGGGCTTCCGCTCCCTCTTGGGGGGCGTCTTCTTCTTCTGCAGAGGTTGAGGTGGGGTGGGGACGTCAGCCGGAGCCAGACGCCTGGGCTGCCCCTGCCTGGACCCCGGCCCCGGCTGGGCCTTACCGCCATGAAGAGGGCCGAGGAGGCCTCGCTGTCGATGTCGCTCTCCTCCGAGCTGTCTGACTCCTCGCTGCTGTCTGCAGGGGCACAGGCCGGGGCTCAGGACCGGAGCGGCCCTGACCCTGCACCCACCCTTGCCGCCGTTGCAGATGAGGGAGCCCGCCCTGAGCCTTGAATGCCGAGGCCAATCCAGCCCCACCTTTCCGGCGCTTCTTCTCCTGCGGGGTGGGCGCCTTCTTCTCCTCCTCTTCCTCCTTGTCCTCCTCAGGAGGCTTCTCCTCCTCACTCTCCTCGCTGCTGTCGCTCTGCTCATCGACTCCTGGTGCAGCGAGAGGGCAGGGTGTGGGTGGGAGCGGGCCACAGCTGGCCATCCCCCGAGCTCCGACAGCCTCCGCCCGCTGAGGACCACGGCCTACCCTTGGGCCCCTCCTCCTGCTGCGGCACCTTGGGCTTGCCCACCTCCGGCTCGTCCTGGGAGCTGCTGTGAGACAGGGAGCGCGTGAGGTCGAGCACGGCCCCGAGGCCACCGTGAGTGACTCAGGCCCAGCCGCACACCCACCTCCCAGCTGCTCACCTGGAGCCGTCCGACATGTAGTCCACCTCCTGGCCCTCGAAGTCCCCGTCGTCACTGTCCTCGAAGGCCTCGTCGTCTGAGCCCTTCTTCTTCTTCCTCTTCCTGCCCGCCTTGGTGGGTGGCGCCTTCTTCTTGGCCTTGGGGGCTTTGCTGCCTGGGGGGCGGGGGGAGGAAGGGGTGGCTCAGGGCACACATGAATCGTGGTTCTCGTATTTTGTGTGCTTTGACATCCCAGGCCCTGGCTGGCTGGGGAACCGGCCCCTCCAGGGCCAGCCAGCGCTCCTGGAAAGAGAAGGGCTGGCCCAGGGTCCCCTCTCCTAGGCAAACGCCCCAGGCCAGAGCCCACACCCCCAAGCCCTTCCTCTACCGCTCATACACCAGGCGATCACCCCTGCCCTGAATCACCCCTGCCAGGCGCCAGCGACGGCCCCTGCAGCCCAGGGCGCCCTGGGACTGTTCAGACTGGCTGACCCCACGCAGTACCCTCTGTGGGTTCCCACTATAGGCCACAGCCCTGGTGCCCCGGGCGCCTGCCCTGCCTCCCCGGGTGGCCTCCAGAGCCTCCTGTTTCCAGGGCCACTGTGAGTGACACCTTCCTTTCAGCGGCATTAACCCACCAGTCACCTCCAAGAACTAAGGCCCAGGCACCGCAGGACGGCCCAGACTCACCTTCCTCGCCGCTGGCGTCGCTGTCGTCAGACGACATCTCCAGGTCGTCCTCCAGGTCGTGGATGCGCAGCTCGCTGGGCTTCTTGTGGCCGCGCTTCTCCTTGTCCTCCTCCTCCTCGTCCTGGCCCTGGTCCTTGAGCCGCCGCTGCTGCATGATGCTGAAGTGGTTCAGCACCTTGTTCCTCCTGGAGGGGGGACAGTGGGGCTGATAAGGCCACCAGCCCTGCGCCTGCACCAGGTGGGCCTGGGAGCACCGCAGAGCGACTGCAAAGGTGCCCTGACCCCACCCTCCAGGGGACTCAGCAGGCGGCAGGGACGCCTCGGATCACACACAGAGGACGACACCGGTCCTCCCTCGACCCCCTCCCTGCCTGGGTCCATCCAGGAGGAGGGTCACGTGATGCCGTCGCACCTCCC